GCCCCGGCCGTACAGCTGCTGTTCCCGCCTACAGCAGCCCGTGGCTGTTCCGGCCATGCCGGCTGAATGCATCACGCCTGCTGGCTCTCCCTGACCCCTCCGCGCAAGGCACTGAGCAAGGTCGGAGGGGAGACACAAATATTCTCTCACGAACATTTTCGCTAGTGCCTAGCACGGGTATGTTGCTGCGCTGAGGCTATACCTCACGGATGTGTTTTCCTGACTCCCCTTCTAGAACCTAAGTTCCACGAGGGCAGGCATCTTTGTCTACTTCGTTCCCTGCTGGGTCTCCACCACCTAGAACCCTGCCTGCCACAGAGCAGGCTCTCGACGGATACTTGCAGGATACATGAACAAACGAACCCCCCCATGAGGGGCCGGCACCGAGGCGGACACTTCAGCAACGCCTAGCAAGTTCTATGCGTGAGACGCTGAGCTTGGTTGGGGCTCGCGGGACAAAGGCTGTGTGCTTAGTACTACTACAGTAGAAGCCCCTGAGAGCTGGGACTAAGTCTTGTTTGCTCTCCGTTGGATCCCTGGCTCCTGGTACCTAGGAAAGCCTCAATAAACCTTTGGGATCTACAGCTAGAAGGATGGAGGGAGGGAGACTAGGACGGATGGGACGGGGGAGGGCTGGCTGGTTGCAACCCTGGTTTCAGGGGGTCAGCTTCTGCTCCCGAGCCCTCCCGGGAGGCCCGGGCCCCAGTACCTTGAGGTCCAGGTGCAGAACCCGCATCTTGTGCATGAAGAGGATCCCGTCACAGATCTGCCTGACAAACACCATGGTGTCCACCTCAGTCAGCTGATAGTCCTCATCCACAATCCTCTCGAAGAGCTCGCCGCCCTCGATGCTGTGTGCACAGAGCCCTCTACAGGCTTGCTTCTGGGCCGGCTGGCACCCCCACCCGGCCCCCTGCCCCACTGCCGACACTCACTACTCCATGAACAGGACTATCTCGTGCGAGGTCTCGATGGCCGCGTAGAGCTGGATCAGGTTGCGGTGGTTCAGTTGGTTCATCACCTCGATCTCAAGCTTCACCATTTCCTGGGCACCAGGGAAGCCAGGGGCACCAACTGAGTGTCGCCGCTCCCTGCCTTCCCCCCTTCCATACCTCTGCCCTTGACCGGCTCTGTCAGGCCTGGCCTGGACCACTGCCTGGCCTCCTCCTTGCCTCCCATCTCTCCCCACCCGGAGCCCGTGTCCACGCCACCGGTCATTCCGGCCAGGACACTGTTCCTCCTGCCCGAATACTCGGGTGCCTGAGGGCCAATCCTCCGCTCACCACTCTCCCCACTGCACCCTCTCCCTGGGCTTTCTCCTCAAGTCCCAGGACATGCCATTCCATGCAGATGTGACCGATTCCCAAATATGCATCTCCACCTCTGGGCGCGCCCTTGAACTGCAGGCACCAACAGCTCCCACGGCCTGACTGCCATTCCCCTGGGATGGCTAAGAGACCTCCTGGATCTCTCAGGTCCAAATGAATCCCTTGCCACGGCCCCCACCCCACGGCTGAGTTGCCCTCAGCTTGCCTGTCAGCAAGAGGGCCCGTCCCGTCGCCCAGGGGTGCAGGACATAAAGCCAGAAGCTGTCCCAGATTCCTCTCATTCTCACACCCCTCTAGAGAGAAATCCCTCTAGATTTCAAATCCAGTAACTCCTTGCCAGCTCCACCGCTGCCTTCCTGGCCCAGGCTGCCATTATTTGTCACTTTCAGAAAGGGCGAATGCCAACCGTCACACTGGTAGCTTGAAGTCAGCCGTGGTAGGATTATTGACACCAGGGAAATGCCAAAAGCTACAGGTCGGGCCTCTCCCCCTGCCCGTCCCCTCAGCCCCCAGCCTCACATCACTGCCCCAGTTTTCCCATTTTCCCGTGATTCTATTCCTTCATTCACATCTCAGTCTACCCGCCGCTTCCTCAAGAGGCCTGATCTCACCACCTTATCTTAACAGCCCCCATCGGGCCCACACTCCCTGTACCCTTCCTAGCTTTATTTTCCTTTCTAGAACTGCTCAGTTCCTGTTGCCATGCTTTCTGTGTGCGTCGTGTTGAGTTGTCTGCCCCTGTCCCAAGCATGTCGGCCCAGGAGGGCAGGGACTCAGACACTTCACTGCCACTTCCCTAGCACCCGGCACAGTGAATGGCCCAGAAAAAGTACTCACTAATTAATTAATCAAGAGCTGACTCCAGTTAATCTCCACAGCACATATGTCTGGAGCATCTACGCTGAGCCAGGTCCGTGACAGAGGCCTGGAGACCCCGCAGTCAAGTGGAAGGCCGGAGAAAGGCGGAGTCACATGGAAAACGCATGCCTTCCTGACGTGCACAGAGCCATGATCGAGAAGCAGGGCTGCAGGGCTCTGGAGCTTCTCCTCATGCTCCTCCCAGGCTCCAGGCCTCCGCACATGCTGTGTCTCTGCCCCAAATGCCCATAAGTTCCCCTCTCGGCTCCCCTGACTCAACCCAAGGGTCCCCCACAGGTCTCTGTCACTCCTGGCCTCAGTCCTTCCTTCTCACAGTCCCCTCAGCTTGAGACTCTTTTCCCCGCCTCTCCACCGGAACCAGCTCCTCCTTTGAGCCTTCATTGGAGAGAGACTAGCCAGCTGAATCTGGAGGCTCCTCCACAGCCCCCTCCTGACCACTGCCTGACCCCCACCTGACCTCCGCCTGACCCCTGCCTGACCTCCGCCTGACCCCCGCCTGACCTCCGCCTGACCCCCACCTGACCTCCGCCTGACCCCCACCCTATGAGCTACCGCCCTCACCACAACAGGTGGTGAGGTGATTATCACCCCCTCACACACCTGACCCCCTGACTCCACATGAGCCTCTGCCTACATTCATTCATTCATTCACTCTTTCATTCGTTCCTTAAACAAACACTGCCTCGGCCTTCTCTGAACCGGGCCCGGGCCAGGTGTGGAGGCACAGCTCTAGACCCGGCCTGATTACCTTGGCACTCCCTGAGGGCGCAAACCATATTCATTTCACTCAGGGACCCCCCGTGCCCAGCGCAGGGCCTGGCCCCGAGCCCACGCTCATCAGCGTTTGCTGGATTGAACCAAACAGAAGACAGGAACGTCCTGTGCCTAGAAGGGGAAGTCCCCAGGATAAGTTCACCAACTGAAGTGTCTTGTTTATGGGTAGGGGCTTCAGGTCCCTGTGGCAGGGTTGTCTGTCTGTCCATCTGTCTATCTGAATGACATCTTCAGCGCATCAAGGTTCACACACCAAGCTCCTGGTGCAGACACATGGGTGGAGGGAGGTGAGAGGTACCCACTCAAAGGATCCCCTCTCCTTCCCACGTAGCCAGCCCCCACTACCTTGTCTTTGGGTGTCTGTTTCTTGATGACTTTGGCTGCCAACTTGAGGCCTGTGGCTTTCTCTGTGCACGTACAGACTGCTCCAAACTTACCACTGAAGAGAGAAGAGGTGGGGAGTGAGGGGGTTTCCAGGGGCACAGGGCTGAAGTAGGGGGTCTGTGCTCTGCTCCTGTCTCGGTCCCCCTCTGTGAGTTGGGACGCTTGCCCCAGCCAGTCTGACTCCCTCCTGAAGCTGGGAGCTCTGTGGCAGGGACAGTGGCTGAACCACACCAACCATGGTCACAGGACGGGTAGACTCATCCACAGGCTGGCCCCTGATGTGACAACTCACAGCCTCGTGGTAAGCATGGGTCCTGGGGCTCTGAGTCCCAGGAGAAGGCACCTGGAGGGATTTTTATGAAGCTCTTTGAGGGGGTCAGGGTGGTGCCTGTAACTGAAACAGGAAAACACTGTTCGCTTCCTACGGGAAATGAATCAATGATCAATGGCGTGTCTGTGTGCGAGACAGTGAACCGAGGGCATATCAACCCATGTGACAGCTTGCATACGAGGGGGTAAGTAACCATGCAGAAGTAATTGTGTCCACGTAGATCATGTCCAGTCGGGGTGTGTCTGGGCCTTGCACAGGAAAGATGTGAGGCCCTGGAGCTCGATGCTCTCCTGCCCATGGGCCAGGGGCTCGGGGTCCCAGCTCTCACCCGCCCAGTGCCTCCTTGGAGTTCATGCTGAATTGACTGCTGACGTTCCCGGGCCTCAGCTCCACGATGCGGTGGGGAAAGGGGGCTGGGGGTGGCGGACAATCATCTGGGGAGGCAGAGCAGAGCCACCACGGTCAGTGCCAGGGGCTGCTGAGGAGGCGCCCCAGCACCACCCCCTCCTGCCTGGCCTGGGCCCTATCCAGGGAAGTTCACCAAGTGATACCTGGGGGACAGCTGGCTCCAGGATAGGGGTTAGGGGGCCCAGTTTCCAGTTTCAGCTCTGCCACCAACACACAAAATGGCCTTGGGACTCTGTCAGAGGGGGCTCAGCGTCTCCTGGCACAACAATGGGGACAGCTGATTGGACTTCTCAGACCCTGCCACATGATAAGGAATGAAGTCTCCATCCCAAGCTATCTCCATTTCCATCAAAGAAAGAAAGGGGGGGGGGTGGCCGGGATGATCATGGCGGAGCGCCAGAGAGGCGTGACTACGTCTGAATGATGGGGTAGGTGGCAGGACCTGCCTACCATCCCCTCTAATTACACCACAAGCTGGCCCGTCCTCCGGAACGGCTGCCCAATCTGGGCATGGCCCAAGGGCAGGGGGAGGGCCGGGGAGGAGACCGGGACCGAGATGTTTGGTAGAGAGAGGCTGCCACCTAGCGGCAACCACGGGGAACAGCGGGCCCTGGCGGCTCACAGGCTGAGTCATTGGGAATGGAAACTATAAATAGCAAGAGGCAGCAGGGAATCCGGGCTGGTGATGCGTCTGACGGCCCTTGGAGGTTGTTCAGGTCCCGTCACCCCAAGGATGTGATTTCTGGAGGGGGCGGAGCAGAAGTCTCTGCTGCTGCTGGGGGGAGGAGGCAGGGCTCCTGACTGTCGCCCAGCCGCCAGGCCTTCCCACCCGGTCTGGGTGGCACTGTGCCGCTGACCCGGCAGGCCCGCTGGGCTTCCGGGGCACCTCAGCCTGGAGGAGCGGGGTGTCAGGACACTCTGGGCTCTTCTGACCCCATCTCACCCCACCCCCAGCCCTGCCGCGCCCCCACCCGGGCCCTTTCCCTATTCACCTGCTCCCCAAGCTCGCTCTTGCTCAGTGGCTCCTGCTGCCCACTGACTAAACCACCCAACCACCAGCTCCGGTCTGATCATCAGTTGAGGCGGCCCCACAGTCCTGCCCCATCGCACGTGCCCAGCTTCCTTGGTCACTGCTCGCATACACAGGCACCTGTGCTCCTCAGCTCATGAACCTGCTATGGCTCTCTTGGCCCTCCCGACCCCCTCCAGGATGTCCTTTAACTACCAAAGCCTGGCCTTTGAGCCATTCTACAGACTGACTTCAAATTCCACTATCCAGAGAGTTGGTGCTGCTCCAAAACCTGTCTGATTTTGTTTTTCAAAACCCCATTATAGACAAAGTAGAAGAAAGTCAAAAGTGAGCTCTGAAGTGGGTCTGTCTGGACAGTTTCAAATCCCGTCTTAGCTGTGGATTTGGGGCACTCACTCCACTTCCCTTTCCCTGAGCCTCCGTTTTCCCATCTATCAAAAGGGACTAGGGATTTATACTTCTTAGAGGTGTGTGACACCTAGATGGGTCAGCCTGGGTGAGGCGTGGCTCAGAGCAGCTCAGTCCTCTAAACAGGGAGACGTGGGGATACCTGGGGAGCCCCCTGCCCTCCCCAGTCCCCACCTGCCCCTGGCCTACCCAAAATCTGGAAGCAGTCCTCCTCCCTGGCTGTGAGACAGAGGGCCTGCCCCACCTCCGATTTCTCCGAGGGAACAGCCTGGAACTCGATCCCCCTCGAGGTGTCCCCTTGCACCTTGGCCTGGCCAGCCTGGCCTGCAGCCTTCTCTCCTGCTTCCTTCTGGCTGTCTGCCAGGATGTTCTTCCCTCCTTCTGCTGCCTTGGCTGGCCCGGGATCCGTGGGGCTGGGGGTCACAGGCACCCCTTCAAAGATGAGCTCCGATGCCTCACTCAGAGTTTTCTCAGCTGGCAGCCTCTCAGGCCTAGAATGTGAGAACACAGGTAGAGATGATACCTTTAGCACTGCGTCTGCCTCCGGGAGGCCTCAATGCTTCCAGAGCCTCTTCTGCAATCTGGAGCCAATACAACCACCCCCCACCCCACCCCCTGCCCCCACCACAGCCTCAGATGCATGGGGTGAGGCATCCAAATTCACTTTATACGAAATCAAGGGACGTTAATAATGCCATGCGTGTCTGTGGTCATTACCTTGACTGTCAATGCACTGATAGATCGTTAATATCTACTAATAGGATTATTGTTCTGGTTAATCATTAGGTGGCTACAATTAGGGAGATTGTGGAGCTCTTGATTCACACAAACTCTGGCAATACAACTGACTAATGCATCAGTGATACCAATGTATTAATTGATATCAATACATAATTCAGCCTGATGTAGTAGTAGTATTGTGGTTTGCAATATATCACGAATATCACTCATGTGATTAGCATTCAGGTCAGTGTAACGGATTGCCTCGTAAGACTGGTGCTGTATTATGGTTATGAAAGCATTAGTAATGATCTATCAATCTGATGATTAGTCATTATTTCATATTATAGTAAGAAGAATGGTTATCTTTTCCTCCTGATATCTCAGTCCTGCCCTCGGCTAGAACCAAGTTCATGGAGTAAGGGGGATGCTGGCCTCCAGGTGCTTTGTGCAGAGGTCTTCAAGGACCTCTCTGCCTTGACATTCCAGGTGTCTATGAACTATCACCAAGTCCTGGTTTCTGCAGGGGCACAAGGTAGGAGAGCCAATGCCCAGGACAGATGCTAAACATCCGAACTGCCCGATCCAGCACGGAACACGGTGACGATGAGGCCTGAGACAGAGGAGCTAAACGCAACGACTGCAGACAGAGCCTCAAACCCCTCCCCACTGCCGGACAGGGGACGCTCACCTAGAGATAATGGCAGGGCAGCTGGGGCTGTGCAGAAAGGCGGGCGAGCCCCTCCTGACCGCTGCTTGGCCCTCCGCTGCCTTCTTGTGAACCTTGGGCTCTCCGGGGCCCTGGCTGCCCGAGGCCTCCTGCTTGGCATCGGGCTTCTTGACGCTGGCCTCGGCTGTCGCGGTCGGCTGGGGCAGGGCTGCTGGCTGCCCAGCACTACCCTCCGCAGGGCCCCCACCCAGGTCGCCTTCTCCCTTGGGGCCCTCGCTGCCGGTGGAGGGTTGGGCCAGGGCACCATCCTCTTCCTTTAGGGCGTCAGCTTTGTCATCTTTCTTCAGGGTGCGTGGATCAGGCTCTTTCTTTGGATGTGGGGTCCCAGGTTCTTTCTTTGCATCTGGGGTCCCAGGACCTTTCTTTGGATCTGGTGGACCAGACGCTTTCTCTGCAGCCAGAGGTCCTTCACCTGCTGTACCTTTAGGTGCCTCATCTGCAAAGGAAGTGAGATCCCAGTCAGGATCCACCGTCCTCCCCCAGCCAGGCTGACCAGTGCCCAGCTCTGGGCCCAAGTCCCCACCTAGGCAGCGGTTTGCAAATACTTGTCCCACTGAGGCTCTGGGGCCGTTTCATGGGCTCTAGAGATGGGCTGCTGGGGCCTCGGAGGCCCTTGTGGGAGACTTCTGGTCCTCTAACACACCTTGATGCCCCCACCATCACTCGCCCTGAATGTTTAGGTGCCATGCACGGGGGCTCCACATTTTCCCAGTCTCTCCGGGGAGGGCTTCCGGTCGGCCCTCAACCCAGCCCAACCTTACCCAGAGATCGTTCTAATTTCTGGGTCCTGGGACCCAGAACTCCCGCTGAGGAATGGGCCCGGCCCTGGAGTCCAAGAGCCCTTCCCAGGCTCCTCCCTCTGTCTCCTGCCCCAGCTTAGCACCTGTTGATGGGCTCTGGATTCCCAGCTCCACTGCTCCGTTTTCTGTCGCCATGAGGCAGGGAGGCGTGTGCTTCTGCTTGTCTAACTCAAGTCTTTCTAGCTGCAGAAAGAAGAGTGAGGTGTGTCAGGCTGTCAGAGTCCTCCTCTTGCCTGGCAGAGAAGAGCCAGGGCCAGCTGACTGAGGGGAGAGAGGTACCTGGAGCAGAGAGGGGCAACCTGATGGCCGCCTGACTTGCAGCGGCTGCCCAGGAGCTCTCCTGGGGCAGTTGTAAGGGATTGGGCTGGGTGGGCAGAGGCGGAGGCAGGGGCGCAGGCAGGGGAGGCGGGGACGGAGGAGAGGATCTCTTACACCAGAGGCCATGCAGCTCGGACTGCCACCACCTGTCACTCTTGGCCCCCGTTCAGAGGACACGGCATTCTTCTCACAGCCGGACTGGGGGGAGAGGAGTGTTGGAACAAGCAGGAAGAGAAAAGGGAGGGGGCAACTGGGCCCCTGAGGGAGCAGCCGTTCCCCAGGCCTTGCCCGGTATCGCTGGCTTGGACGGGATCAGGCAGGGGGCCTGGCACAAGAGGGGTTCCCCGGCAGGGCCAGAGGACAAGATTATGCTCAGGCTGAGCCCTGCCCACCTGCACGCCACGTCTCCTGGGGTTGCCCAGAAGCTGGTGAGAGCCACGCAGGCTCCGGGGATAATCACCCTGACCCCACTGCCCAGCTTTGTGCCCATGATCCCTGCTCCTGGCCTCCAGACCTGCTTGCGGCATCTTTGGGGAAGAAATTGTCCCAGGGGCACTCGCTCAACATGTCCACGGGACTGAAAGCATTTTCTTTTGAAAATGTATTTTTCTTGGGCTCCTGGGGAGATGGAGGCTGGCCTGCTTGGAAGGAGGGGGGCTGGTAGAGAGTCTTTTCTAAAGATCCTTGACTACAGTGGGGACCTGGGGGCCACTCAAGCCCGAGGTGATCAAGCTGAGTTGGGATGGGGAGAGGTATGATCCGGAGAGCCTTCCATCATCCAGGGGCTGCCTGCCCAGAGCCTGTCTCTGAGGGGGGCCTTGAGAACCGGCTGGGCTGAGTGCACTGGAAACAGCTCTGCAGGGGGCATCTGGGTTCAGGGCCTCCCCCCCAACTCTAACTCTCCCATGGAGGACACCACCCCTTCCCCCAGAGAGAGGGAGGCGGAAATGACTGGAGAAAGCAGCAGGTCTGACCCAAGGAAAATTATGTAGCTGTAAACAAGATTGAGGAGGCCGGGAATGAAAGGATGCAAAGCAACCTCCAAAACGGAAAAAAAAAAAAGAAAGAAATTTAAGCCATGTGCAGAAGAGCAAGTAGAATATGCTATCATCGGGCAAAAGGGGGTAATATATATAATAATATATAAACTTTCACCTTATACACATAAGAATTTCTTTGGGATGACACGCAAGAAACTGGGGGGCAGGGTGAGAGGGAGACGTCACGGCACACCCTTTCACTTTTTTTTTATTTGCACCATGAAGTATGTGAATGGAATACTATTCAAAATGAGTGATTTTTTTTTAAGTGAGTAAATGTTGGGGTTGTTGGTGGTAGAGGCTGCAAAAACCAAAGTTGGGGTTCCTTCCCTGGTGTTGATGACTTCTTGCCCCTCCTGGCCCTCCTCACCTCCGGTTCTCTCCTTCCAGGTGCAGGTGACAGTCCCCCTCTTCTGGGGAGCAAAAATACTAATGAAAGCCTGTCTAGTATTCACTCCGAGTGCTCTTACGTAGATTCACTCGTGTGATCTTCAGAACAACCCAATGAGGTAGGTACTACTACAGCTGGGGAGACTGAGGCACAGAGCAGTTCCGTAACTTATCCAAAGCCATGTGGGTTGTCAGGGACTAAACTAGGGTCTGAATGAACCCAGGCTCTCCTAGGGGAAGGGAGCTCCCATTTTTTTGAGGGCCTGCTGTTAGCTCTATGCATGTTGTCTGAAAACTTCATCTTGATAATAACTCTGTGGGGAGCTTCCATCCTGTTTCCTAGATGAAGACGGCGGATCAAAAGAGTAATGTGCCCAAAGTCACTCCACAAGGGAGTCGAGCCAGAAATATCCTTCTTCAAAGCCCAGGGTCCTCTTTCTTCCCCCAAATCTCCCAGGCTGTGTCTCGCCTGTCTCTCCCTGCCCAGTGCCCCCTTTACGGTCCGACAGGATTCTGAAGGCTGCAATGCTTCCTCTCTGTGCCTGCTCTTGGGAGCCCCCCGCCCTCTGTTTGTTCGTTCCCACAGCATGTTCTGGTTTCGCATGAGATGTTGGGCCCTCCTCCTTTGGCCTTCGGCTCCAGGCTGATCCCATTGACGGTCTCTGGGAGCCCCTTGAGGGCAAGGGCTTTATGATGCTCATGTGTGTCGCCAGCACAAAGTGTACTTGCCAGGCAGTGTTTGGTGAGTAAGCAACTGACTAGCAAGGCTCTGGACTGGGTTTGTGGGATTACTTGGGTACAACGGCCCTTGCTGACATCCCCTTGTTATTAACCATGGTTGTCGGCGTCATACTTACTGAGTGCGCACTCAGGGCCAGGCCTGACTCTGCCAAGGGCTTTACCCAGCTCACTGGCTCCTCACAAAGGACTGCGGGGCCAAGGATTAGGCCACTTTAAAGGTACGGAAGCTGATGCTGAGAGAGGGGAAGGGGCTCTCCGAGAGAGTCGCACAGCCACAGAATAGCGGCAAACTCTCCGGATTCCATCCGGATTGGAATCCAGCACCACCTCTTGTTGAGACAACATAAGGGGCTTTATTTGTTACATTTGTTACTGTTATGGTTCCCAAATAAGTAGCATTTCTTAAGCTCTTACTAAGCGGGTCAGGCCCCGGGGTAAGCAACTTCATGACAACTAACCTACTGAGCAGTGGTTAAGGAGCTCTGAGACCAGTAACCGAGGCTTGGACAAACGCTGTCACTGTTCCCTTACCTACAGGACGAGCACCTTCCTCATAGGGGAGGTGTATAAGGCATTTAGAACAGTAAGTGCTGCATAAATGTCAGCTCTTTTCTCCCCGTTTCACGGATTTGACAGGAAAACTGAGTCGCAGGGCAAACTCCCAGAGCTGCGTTTGGACCATCTAAGCCCGGGCTCAGCTCGTAACCGCTCTGCCCCATTGCCCCTCCCAGGGTGGCTGGGAGCACTTCGCGAGCACACGGTATGGAGAGCGCCTGGCATAGCACTGGCAGCACTGTGGGCTCTAGATAATGTAGCGGACACCCCAGGTAGAGGGCTCAGCTGTCCCGGCAAGCTCCTCCGCGGTCCCTCCCGCTGGGATGAGAGGCTGGCCTGGGTCCGGATCCATGGGATTGCCTGCCGCTTGCTCGCCCGCCCAGGGTTAAGCTCAGCTGGGCCAGCTGCTCCCTGGGAGTCCCCGGGCTTCTCGGCACTCCCTTGGAGGCACAGGGGAGGGGCCTGGGGAAACCTCCCCCTCCCAGCCGGGGGCTGCCAGAGACCCTGCCCACCCTTAAAATGGGGCTTTCCCGCCCTGCACCAGCTGTGCAGCCACCCTCTTTGCCTCTCCAGGGGCAGGGCAGGAAGTGGGGCAATGCCAGGACCAATTAAACCTGCCAGGGAAATTAAGGTCAGCAGGATGCAATTATGCCTGTTGGGTTTAACAAGGCCAGAAGGAAGGTTTCTCCAGCCAGAGTTCACGGCTCCTTAGGCCTCATGCCCTGGATGGCTCTGCATTCCAGAAGCCTGGGCTCTCAGGCTCACCCATCCCTGGGAGAATTACTTGGGAGTGGAGGGGTTAACTTTCCCCGGGTACTGTTTCCCTGGCTCCTGGAAGGAAATTGACCCAGCCAAGAGGCTTTAAAAGGCCCTGCTCAGAAAAGACGTTTCCCGGCCTGACCCTCTCCCTGCTCGGCTGTGATGGAAAATCCAGGGAGTTGAGTAACCTTTCTGACTCCAAAGAGCAGCCAATTCCCCTCACAACTTTCCTGTGGTCCTGACATGGGAGCCACCCAGGGCTGTTTTCTCCTGCCCTCTCCCACCTCCGGCCCCTAAACCCGGGGCTATGGCAGTACCTCTTAGGCCTCTGACGGAGTCCTAGGTAAGACCCTGTCCTTCCTTCCGAGGCTGATAAGCAGAAGTCTGTGGACACTCTGTGTGCAAACTGAACAGAGATCCCTCTGAAGCTGAAACGACACACTGATCCGTCTTGAAATCATGGGGTTTTATTGCTAAGATTACTTACTGAAAGCTCTAATCTGTGGCAAGGGCTAACGTGGTCACTTTGGAGACACAGAGATGTTGAAGAATAGTGATAGAATCATCACATGGTGCAATTTCAGTCATTCATGAAGTAGGATCCCTTTTGTTGTTAAAAACATTTATTAAGGGGGCGCATGGGTGGCTCAGTCGATCAGGCGTCTGCCCTCGACTCAGGTCATGATCCCGGGGTCCTGGGATTGAGCCCCTCATCGGGCTCCCTGCTCAGCGCGGAGCCTGCTTCTCTCTCCCTCTGCAGCTCCCCCTGCTTGTGCTCTCTCGCTCATGCTCTCTCTCAAATAAATAAAATCTTAAAAAAAGAAAAAATTTATTAGGAAAATGAGAAAATGTCTGGAGGGATATAAATATACGTATTAGTAGGTATGAGAGTAGAGGTGGTTTTTATTCTTTGGATCTTCCAATTTTTTCAAAATGACCATTTGTGACTCTAAACGGATTAATAAATAATTTGAAACGTATCAATATGCACACAGATTTCTATACTTCAAGACAGAAAGTGGTACAAGCTACATAGGAGATATAAAAACAGCATGGATTGGGACTGCTGGTCAGGGATGGCTTCTCAGATGAAGGCATGGCTCCGGCAGGCTTTCTCAGTGCCCAGGCCCCCCGAGTTTGTTTTCAAAGAAGCCTTCTTTAGAAGGGAGCCCCAGGACTCTCTCTTGAACCAGCATTTCAGGTGGTTCTCATGCACACCCAAGTTTGAGAACCCGCAAGTCAGAGGGCCAACTTTGAGGCCCTCCTGAGAGAGCCCGGCTGGTGCAGCTCCAGAGCCTGGGCTGGGCTTCTCAGCCCCGATGCACATGGGAAATGTCTGGAGAGCTTTCACAACTCCCGAAGGCTGAGCCCCTCCTGAGTTCAGGCCAATTAAAGCAGAATATTTGGGAGGGGCAGCCCAGAATGCTGGTAGATTTTAAATCTCCCCAGAAGATTCTGATGTGCAGTCGGGGTTAAGAACCACTGCTCTGAGGCTCCCCCAGGACAAGAACATCACCTCGGTTCTTTGAAATGCCCCTCCAAGTTAGGGTACAACGGCGGCATATGGCAGG